TTCTACATTCAAAACTCTTCAGTGTCGAATACCTATTATTTATTAAAAAAGTTACGGAAAAATGGAACTTCGCTTATAAAATGCAATGATGAAATATAAATGAGGAGTGTGGCACATTTATTTTTTAATTATTAAAAGAGAATCTCTAACACATGCCAGCAAATTTAAACTTCATAAAAGTTGTTTTAGTTTTAATAACCGATTTTCAATAATTCAGCTATGCAGATTTCGAAAATAATATTCATTTTTTTTCTACCACGTAAAGATTATTTTACAAATCGGGAAAAAACTGTTATTTAGATCAAATTATTATTTCGTTTACCACAATGAACATTTTTTGTCATTATGTTTGTTGACAAAAGTACAAACAAACTGGAAAAAAGGGAAGAACATTGATGTCAAACAAATATACATCCTCATTCATCTTGTTGTGTGTGTGTGTGTGTGTGTGTGTGTGTGTGTGTGTGTGTTTATTTTTTAATTTCGCGCAAAGCTACACGAGGGCTATCTGAGGTAGCCGTTCCTAATTTAGCAGTGTAAGACTAGAGGGAAGGCAGCTAGTCATCAACCCCCACTGCCAACTCTTGGGCTACTCTTACCAACGAATAGTGGGATTGACCCACACATTATAACGCCCCCATGCCGGGCCTTTTTTTTGTGAAATTACGTCTTTTTTGTCTTTAAACTAAGTGTTGTGGTCTTTCTTTCATGTATTGCGTTATGACGTTTTGTGAAAAATATGTACGTGATGAAGACAAATGTATATTATTTATCGGTTCCAGCGTAAAGAAATTACTGTTGAACAAGTAAACATTTCAAGACAATAAAACCATCGCAAGCCTGTGTAATTAGTATCACTTATCTGAGTAATCAATATAGCGGAAAATCCACCACAAAGTCTTTGACTGAATATATTTGTTACAAATCCACGCGTGGTTTTCAGAAAATATAAAATGAAATATTTCTGACAAGCAAGATATGAAAAAAAATTGCTCACAACGAATAGTAAGTAGGTCAACATCCACCAGCAGCTAACGGCAATGTGACCTATGTTTTTCACGCTAGGTGGGGTCCAACACAATTATAAAATGGTACTCGTGACTGACAGTAATTTTGAACAACGTGTCTTGGCTTCAAAATGGAATTTGTTCTCCTGCATCATGATAATGTCAAGCCCCATACTGCTAGTCGTGTGACACTGCAAACGAGAAGCTCAGAAGCACGGTCTTTTTCCATTCCTTATATAGTCTTGACCTTGCACTCCGTGACTCCATCATTTCGGTCCTCTCAAGGACAGTCTGCGAAGACAACACTTCCAAACAACTGTTGTTCCTAGAGCAGCTGTGCGCAAGCTGACTCTTAACACCACACTTGCATTTTCCTGAATCAATATGATGGTCACTGAACAATGGAGAAATTGCACAGTGCTTAATTAAGGGAACTGTGCAGAAGAGTGGCATCTGATTGCCAACATCCTAAGCACCATTGATATACGTTTATATAGAAAATAAAAAATTCTGAATATCCCTCGAATATTAATAAACTTTCGAATTTTTTGAAATCGTTAGGTTTAGGGGGAAAATTGACATCATACTTGTAGACCTTACCAGGAAACATTATGTAATCTCTATAGCACGAGTAACATAAGCAAAACATGGCATTTTCATCTAATTAAAGTTGTTTGTTGTATTTTCAAGTATCTTCTAAATAATTATATAAAAAATATTTTAAAAAAGAGTAACAGATCATCCAGTAAATAAAACGTTTAGATACTGCATTGATAATCAGATTTCTTCCAAACTTTGAATAATAAGTTTTGTTTTTTCAATAACCTAATATCCTTTATCACACTGCTGTAAACAGTGAACGGGAATGATGAATAACTGTTTAGAAACATCATTAAATAAAGCTATCGATAAGTTAATAACCATTTTTATAGAATTAATGAGAAAAATATTTTTGTTCTTATGTTACAGATCGCATACAATTTACAATTTAAGTGAATATAATATATAATTATTTAATACTGCTTAATGAAAAGAAAACTGTAAAGAGAATTAAAGATTAATTTACACAAATGAACGTGCTAAAAACATTAATATTGTTGCGTCATCGAGATCACGTGA